TCACTGCCCAAGGGTGGGAATGGGGAAGGAATGATCAGTGGAGGGATGGCTGCCCAGGGCTGGGAATGGGGCTGGAGACACAGACACTGCAATTCCAGAGCCTCAGAGTGGGTCAGGGCTGCATTCTATGAGCTCATCCCTCCGGGAAGGGTTTCCAACCCTCCAGGAAGGATTCTCACCAGAAAGAGCTCCCTCTCTCCAGGAAGGACTTCCCATTCCATCTGGGAAGGATTCCCACCCTTTCAGGAAGGATTTCACACTCTCTCCAGGAAGGATTTCCCACCTCTCCAGGAAGGATTTTCTATCTCTCCAGGAAGGATTTCACATTCCACCTGGAAACTACTTCCCATCCCTTCAGGAGGGATTTCCCATCTCACCAGGAAGGACTCCCATCCCCTTGGGGAACAATTTCCCATTCCCTCCAGTACAAAATTCCCACCTCTCCAGGAAAGATTTCCCACCCCTTTGGGAAGGATTTCCCACCCAGGCTGTACCTCTCTTGGGGACCTTCATGGCAGCAGATTCTGGGGTTTCTGGGGACGTTGTGTCGGCTCCATCCTCAAACACCTGGATCTGGAAAAAGGACAACAACCATTATTGCCAAAAATTCCCAAACTGGGAGTCCAGGGAATGGGTCCCTCTGGCAGTGGGTTCAGCAGAGCAGATCCCATGTTTTTGGTACAAATTTTTGATTTCATCATTCCAGCTTTGCCATCAACCATCCTCCTTCCATAGGCTCCCTGAGAACAGCCACAGGCTTTTATTCCCGCTGGGAATAAGGAATATTCACACAGGTAATGAGAAAAGTCAAAGGTCTGGATTTGACAGCCCTGAATATCCATTGCAGGTTCAGGGATTTCTCTTTGTGAACTATTTTTGGACACATTTTTCCCGGATAAACATGGAAAACTGGGCTGGAAGGGATTAGATCCCTGTGGGAGAACAATCCTCGTGCCTCAGATCAGCATCTCCCGGATTGTCCCTGCAGGAATCTGCCTGATCCATGACCACCTCCCACCAGGGAGTTCAGCTTAAAAAACAAAATCACCTGGGAAGCTGTCAGTCAGGGATTCCATTTTTGGGAAGATTCCCAACACCAGGAATGATTAAAACTGAATTAAAAACCACAGGGAGACCGGGAAAAATGATGCCACAGAAATTGCGAGGCCTGCAGGAAACCAGGGTGGGAATTCTGGGTGTCCCCCAGCAGGCACAGCCCAGGTGGGAACCCTGGAGCTGCAGGAGAAGCCCAGGGCAGGGACAGAGTGGGGCTGGCTCCGGGTGACACCGGGAAGTGCCACCTCTGACCGGACAGGCCCGAGCTCCCATGCCAGGCAGGAGCCAAAGGCAGCTCCAGGGGATGCCAAAGTCAGGGATGATGATGGTTCCACACACCAAAAAAAGGAACAGTCATGTTTGGAATGGCCAACCCAGGCACAGTCAGGGAATCCTGGAATGGTTTGGGCTGGAAGGGAACTTAAATCCCACCCAGTGCCACCCCCTGCCATGGGCAGGGACACCTCCCACTATCCCAGGTTGCTCCAAGCCCCGTCCAACCTGGCCTTGGACACTTCCAGGGATCCAGGGGCAGCCACAGCTTCTCTGGGAAATCCATTCCAGTTCCTCACCACCCTCACAGAGAGGATCTTCTTCCCAATATCCCATCTATCCCTGCCCTCTGGCAGTGGGAAGCCATTCCCTGTGTCCTGTCCCTCCACCCCTTGTCCCCAGTCCCTCTCCAGCTCTTGGAGCCCCTTTAGGCCCTGGAAAGGGCTCTCAGGTCTCCCTGGAGCCTTCTCTTCTCCAGGTTGGACATTCCCAACTCTCCCAGCCTGGCTCCATGGCAAAAGAGCTCCAGAATCCTGGACAGGGTTGGGTTGGGGAGGACCTTCAATCCCTGCCAGTGCCTCCCCCCCCGCCATGGGCAAGGACACCTCCCACTGCCCAGGCTGCTCCAAGCCTTGTCCATGATCCCTGTGGATGAAATCCATGGGATGAACTGGGGAGCAGCTTCCCAGACCGATCCCTGAGCCTTGTGCTCAGCACCCCCCAACCCTCCCGGTCCTGCAGACCCAACATTTTCCCTGTAAACCCCTGGAAGCCTTTCCCAGCTGGCAGGTGAGGCCGAGTGATGGACAAGGGAGTCAGGTCCATGTGTCACCCAGTGCCAAGGTCCTGGCAGTGCCCAGAGGGGCAGCAGGAGGGTCCAGGAAAGCAGGAAGAGCTGGAGATGCCATGGGCTGGGATACAAAGCAGCCCTTTTCCAGGGGGAAGGACAGGATCTGGCTGGGACATGGGGCTGGGGACACCCAGATCTGGGGGCTCCAGTGCCACCTCTGCCTTGGGAAGGTGACACAGGGAATTCCCCTGGAAGGTGTTTGCCCCAGGGAGCTCCTGGGTCCTGCTGCAGCCCAGGAGCAGCAGAGGCAGCAGCTGCACCCAGCCAGGGTGTTTTATCTGCTTCCAGGTAAACACAGTTTAATTAAAATACCCCAGCTCTGCTTCCAGGTAAACACCGAGATCGATCCCAAACTCCACCTGCTCCAGGGGGTAACTGGGAACTTCCCTGGCAGGTGGAATAAAACCCTTTGGAATTCACTGGGCTGTTTTCACCCCATTCCCCTGGAAACACCCCACAATAACCCATGGCCTGATCGAGACCTCAAGGATCCTTGCGGAGGGGCCTGGCCCCAGTCCCAGGGGAGGTTCCACCTGCCTGGAGTGTGCTGCTCCCTCCCACATGGATACAGGGAGTCCCGGGAACCCCATGGCCCTGGGAGCAATGGGAACTGGTTTCTCTCTCCCCACCCAGGTGGGAAGGGCTGGTTCCCTCTATTTAATGAGCACCTGAGGATCCTGGGAAGCAGAGCCCTCTGAAGGACACCAAGGACCCTGGGAAGCAGAGCCCTCTGAGGGACACTGAAGATCCTGGCAAGTGGAGCCCACCAAGGGACACTGAGGATCCCAGGAAGCTGATCTCACCAAGGATCCTGGGAAGTAGATCTCCCCCAGGATCCCAGGAAGTGGTTCCCCCTGAGGATCTCGGGAAGCAGAGCCCCTCTGAGAGTCCCAGGAAGCGGATCCCTCTGAGGGTCCCAGGAAGCAGAGCCCCCTGAGGGTCCCAGGAAGTGCATCCCCCTGAGAACCCCAGGAGTGGATGCCCTCGAGGATCCCGGGAAGCAGCTCCCCCCAGGATCTCAGGAGCAGTTCCCCCTAAGATCCCGAGAAGTAGATTCCCCCAGGATCTCAGGAGCAGTTCCCCCCAGGATCCCTGGAAGCAGCTCCCCTCAGGATCCCAGGAGCAGTTCCCCCAAGATCCTGGGAAGCAGACTCCCCCTGGATTCCAGGAGCAGTTCCCCCCAAATCCCGGGAAGCAGATCCCCCGGATCCCTGGAAGCAGCGCCCCCTGAGGGTCCCTGGAAGCAGGTCCCCCCAAATCCTGGGAAGGAGCTCCCCCTGGATCCCAGGAGCAGTTCTCCCCAGGATCCCAGGAAGCAGATTCCCCCCAGGATCCTGTGAAGCAGCTCCCCTCAGGATCCCAGGAAGCAGATCCCCTCAAATCCTGGGAAGCAGATGCCCCCTGGATCCCAGGAAGCAGGTCCCCCCAAATCCCAGGAAGAAGATGCCCCCTGGATCCCAGGAAGCAGCTCCCCTCAAATCCCAGGAAGCAGCTCCCCTCAGGATCCCAGGAAGCAGATCCCCTCAAATCCTGGGAAGCAGCTCCCCCCACATCCCAGGAAGCAGCTTCCCCGGCTCCCGGGAGCCGCTGCCCTCACCTGTGACTGGCGCACGAAGATGCCGTGGTTCTCCTCGCAGGTGAAGTACTTCCTGCCCTGCACGGTGCCGTCGTTCTTGCCCCGGGGCTCGTCCAGGATGACCCCGACCCACTTGCCGGTGGCGAACAGGGTGGCCCCCACGTAGGCCACGGTGCCGCGGTGCCCCTTCCCGATGACCTCCACGCGGGAGCCCACCTTGAGGGGCCTGCTCCCGCCCTCCGCGCTCATCCTGGGGGTGCTGGAGGCCTGTGGAGCGGGGAGAGCGGGCTGAGAACGGGGACAGACACGGGGTTTGGGCCTGGGACACCTCATCACCCTCCGGCAGCGCGGCCCCAGGGCTCCGTCCCCTCCACCTCCACCCCCTCTGAGCTGGGAGCCAGCCAAGGGCAACTCCTGCCATTACAGTCCCGAACAGGAGCCACAAACCACGGCACAGCCACCACCACTGGTCACGCTGGACTCACAAACCCCATTTATGACCCTTTATAACGTTGTTATAGCATTTTTATAAGCCTTAGGGGGAAAGAAAACCCCACAGCGAGCGAAGCAGCCGAGAGCAGCACAGCTCAGGGCCTTATCTTGCTCCATCTCATGCATTGTATCAGCACTGCCCACGGCTTTCCAGCCTGGGAATTCCCTGCCCAGGAGCAGGCAGCCTGTTTCTGACACAGGTCACTGTCCCTTCCCTTTGGACTGTTGGGATTTTGGGGGATCTGGTGGCCCAGCCCCCACCGTGTCCCTGGGCCCCCCCCCATGCCTGGACTCGGGGTATCCCACCAGGGAATGTGGTCATCCAGCTTTCCAGGTGTGACTGTCGTTATCCAGGACAGAGGGAACGGCCTCCAGCTGTGCCAGGGGAGGGTCAGGTTGGATATTGGGAAAATTCCCCCTGGAAAGGGCTGTCCAGCCCTGGCACAGCTGCCCAGGGCAGGGGGAGTCCCCATCCCTGGGGGGATTTCACACCCTGTGGATGTGGCACTTGGGGACATGGTCAGGGGTGGCCTTGGCAGTGCTGGGGGAGTGACTGGACTCAGGGGTCTCAGAGGCTTTTCCAATCTCACCCATTCTGTGATTCCATGATTCCATCCTAACCATTAATCCCCACTCCCATCCCAGTGGCACCATTCCATTCCAAGTGTGGTGTCCCGGGTTGGGCCCAGGGGTGGTTACCCAGGTGATCACTGCTCTTACACCAGCCACGAGGTGAAGGGTGTGAGGAACTCCAGGGGGTACTGGAGACCCTCAGGATCATGGAAATCATAGGGAAGTTTGTTGGGATCCACCCTCAACACCTTCTCTGAAACCAGCCTGAGTGAAATCACAGAATCCCAGGATGGGTTGGGTTGGAAGGGACCTTAAATCCCACCCAGTTCCATCCCCTGCCATGGGCAGGGACACCTCCCACTTAGCCCCCAGGTTGCTCCAAGCCCTGTCCAACCTGGCTTTGGACACTTCCAGGGATCCAGGGGCAGCCACAGCTTCTCTGGGTAACCTGTGCCAGGGCCTCCCCACCCTCACAGGGAAGAATTTCTCCCCAGTATCCCTCTAAATTTCCCCTTTCCAGGTGTGAAGCCATTCCCCTTTGTCTTGTCACTCCATCCTGTGTCCAAAGCCCCTCTCCTGCTCTCTTGGAGCCCCCTCCTCAAACTCTGACACCTTTCAATCCCAGTGCCTCTATCCCAGAGGGAATGAGGGTGTTCCCCTGCCCTGCTCAGCTCCACCTCCCATTCACCCTGAGCTCCCAGTGGTCCCCAAACGGGACCAGTGTGGCATTTCCCACACCCTGTGTGTCACTGGTTCTGGTCATCGTGCAGAAATGTCAAGTTTTGGCCTCTCTGGGCCCAGTCTCAGTGGAAGAATCTGTCCTTTATCCCAGGAAAACAGAGGCTCTTTCACCCAGCACGGCGGGGAACGGCGGGGAAGGGCCCTGCGGAGCCGACGGATGTGGGGACAAACCTCAGCCACAGCTGGACACCACGGGGGGCTTGGGAGATTCGGGGAATTCTCAGCCTGTGGAAGAACCAAGGGGACTGTGGAAGTTCCTGGAACCCCAACAAACCATCCTCTCCCCCTGCACGTCGCTGCCCGGGGTCGGAATGCTGAGTGAACCCACCGTGTTTGGGGAGTTCTGGGACTAAAACCAGGGATGTCAGTTTTCCACAAGCCTGAATTCCATGTTCCATCCAAACACAACGGGGAGAAACCAAACACAACGGGGAGAAATCAAACAAAACTGGGAGAGATCAAACACAACTGGGAGAAACCAAAGGCACGAAACACTCTCGTGTTAAAACCCCAAATCCATCACCCAACAAACAGACCCAAAACCTCAAAGGCAAAATTTCTGCTCCAGACCCAAATGTCTCCCCAGGTTCTGGCTCCTCCCAGCTGCCACGGCTGCAGCAGCATCCTGCCAACACCTGCACCTGGAAAATCGTGTCCCACGTGTTATGGAAAGTGAGAGCAGAGCTCCAAGAAAATAAGAAGCCCAAAGAAAAGCCCAAAGGAAAAGCCAGAATTCCCAGTCAAACGAAAAGTTCCTGCTCAACAATGTCAGAAGCTTTTATCCTCCTCGTTTCTGCTTCCCAGGGGCACCTGCAGCCAGGCAGGATCCATCGGAGTGTGAGACACCCCAAACCCTGTGGATACCTCTGGCAGTGGGAAGCCATTCCCTGTGTCCTGTCCCTCCATCCCTTGTCCCCAGTCCCTCTCCAGCTCTCCTGGAGCCCCTTCAGGCACTGGAAAGGGCCCTAAGGTCTCCCTAGAGCCATCTCCTCTCCAGGGTGGACATTCCCAGCTCTCCCAGCCTGTCCCTGATGGGACAGTTGCCAACCAGCACCAATTTCACAGAAACATTTCCTGAGTCCTTCATGTTTGGGAAAGCAGGAGAGCACAGAACTCTCCCACCCCATCCCTCAGGACAAGGCAATGGGTCTCCACCTGCTGTTTCCAGCTAATCAGAAATCAATCCATGGGATCTGTGTGCTGCTCCAGCATGAGGACAGCTCCTGTCCAAGGGATAAACCCCAGGCTGGAATTCCCATGAAGATTCAAAACAACACCAGAACAAAGAGGAGGAGCTGTCCAGGCTGGAAGCAGGTGGGATGCACATTCCCACCCACCTTCCCAGCCAGGTGACCATGGCTGGGGACCCGATGGCCACTCCAGGAGGGATGGGAGGACAGAGCCCAGTGCCCAGCCGTGGTCACTCCTGGCATCCCTGTCCGGCTGTGGAGGGAGGAGCGGGGAGGGACAGCCCCCCAAACGTGGGGACAGCCATCCTTGGGGACACCAGGGCACAGCAGCCCCGTGGCAGCCAGGGACACAGCCCACAACTGCCTGGGGTCCCCAGGGATGTGCCGGCTCCTCATGGATCCCCTCTGCCACTCTGACCTTCCCAGTGGGACACCCCAGGGATCTGGATACCCCAGGGCTCTGGACACCCCAGGGCTCTGGATACCCCAGTCCTGAGAATGGATGGTGAGGGAAGAGGATGGAGGAGCAGAGCTGTGGGAACACATGGGAAGGGAGAAGGGCTGGACACACACAGCGGGGTCACAGTGACAGCCCCGTCACCACTCCCAGCACATGGACAGGGAACAAGCTCCTAAATCCCAGTAAATGAGAAATGTGGGGAGTCCTGGTGGAGGCAGCACTGCTGCACCCACGGTCACCCCCGGGGCACCAGGGGCCAGGTGGGGACAGCTGAGGGGCACAGGGCAGGTGGTGGGGACAGGGCAGCCAGAGGAGCACCCGGGAATGCCGAGCCTCTGGAGCAGCGGCCACCACCGGGGCAGATTCCGGCGGGACAGTCCCAGGCTGGATGAACCCATGGGCCCAGGAGGAGCCTGTCCCACACCCTGGAGCTTCTGTCCTGCTCCAGGGACACCTGTTCACAGGGATATTGCTCCAGGTGAGGAACGAGCCCAGGGCTGTGCTGCCACCAGGACACTGCTCCCCTCAACTTCCCGCCTGGCACCGCTCTGAAATCCCGATTTTTCAGTTCTCCCCCCTTTTTGAAGCATTGCACACATCCACAGACCATCTGCTCCACTATGGGGAGATCCTGGTTCTGAGCCACTGAAAAGGGGATGAATTCCCAGCGATTTGGGTCATTCCCGTGTTTCCCCCGAGCTTGACGGTGTCAGTGTTCTGCTCCATCCCAGCGGATCACCCGGGAATACTCAGTGCATTCCTGCAGCAGCCAGGCTCAGCTGGCAGGTGAGACTAACTGAGCCTCAAACTGTCACTCAGAGCTCAGATCACAAGTTTCAGGAGAATCCTGAGCCCAGCAGCCACCTCTGACGAGATCCAAACTCCAGGGGTGACCCAGCAGGGCTGGAACAGGGAAAGACTTGGAAACAGTTCTGGGTTTAAGGCTGGTCAGCAGCAAGTCGATGGCACGTGGCACTGCCACACCATCCCATGGGAAGGAGGGATCACCCCGGGATTGAGAGTGGCCCCAGCACCCCATGGCAGCACCAGGATGGGGTTCCCAGCACCATGGTGGCACTGGACTCCAGCTGGGGAGCACAAAGCCGAATAGGGAGGCTGTGGGTGCCTCTGGACACTGTGACATCGGGCACAGTGTCCCCAAAACCCTTCAGGCACACAGCCAGGGCAGCCAGTGGCCTCAGCCCCAGGAAGGGCTGGCACAGCCTCAGTGCCTGCAGTGCCCATTCCAAAATCCATGTGAGCTAAGCACGGATAACCTGCTCACAGTGCCCTGCCTGCAGTGTGCCACGTTGCCCTGGGACCCCCCGGCACCCCCAGGATCCCTCTGGCACCCCCAGGATCCCCCAGTCCTGCCACTGCTCCCACAGGCCGAGCCATGTCTCCATGGGCCCTTGGAGCCAGTGCCCAGCTCCCTCCCTGTGCCCCCACCCCTGGGAGCCCCTGGGCACACCGACAGCCACCACAGTGTCACCACGGAGCTGCCAGGACTCAGGCTGGAATTCCACCCCTTCATCCCCCCCATGGAACACAGGGAGGTTTGGGGGGCAGGCAGCTCAAGCCCCCCACCTGCTCCCACAGCCCCTCCCAGGGTGGGCAAAGCAAATTCCCAGCCCGGAGCCTTTCCCAAGTGGCAGCTGCTCCCTCGGCAGCCAAATCCCTTCAGCCACAGCTCAGGTCCCCCCGGCTCCAGGCCTGGCACATCCCAGGGCAGGGCACGGTGCCCACGGCGGGTCTGGGGTCCCACGGAGCGGTGGGAAGGGTCTGCCCTCCCCGGCTCCTGCCTGGAGTGCCTCTGCCAAGTT